CCTCTCTCCCCCTCCCCTCCCCTCCCATCTACACCTTCCTTCCTCCTCCCTCCTCGCTCTTCCTTCCTCCTGTCTCCTTCTCCTCCTCCTTCTCCTCTTTCTCTTTTCCCACCTCCTCCTCCTCTCCTTTCCATTCCCCTCCCACCCTCTTCCCTTCCCTCCTCTCCCCTCCCCCCTCCCTCCTTCCCTTCCCCTCCCTCCCCCCCTCCCTCCTTCCTTTCCCCTCCCTCCCCCCCTCCCTCCTTCCCTTCCCCTCCCTCCTTCCCTTCCCCTCCCTCCCCCCCTCCCTCCTTCCCTTCCCCTCCCTCCTTCCCTTCCCCTCCTTCCCCCCTACCTCCTTCCCTTCCCCTTTCCCCCTCCATCCCCCTCTCTCCCCATCCCCATCCCCTCCCCCCTCCCCCCTTTTCACCCCCCCCCTTCTCACCTTTCCCCACCGTGCGAATTTTCTCGTAATCATTATCCAGATCCTTCGTCCTCTTCTTGACCCCGCCCCCCGCCGTCTTGAGCGCCTCCTTGAGCTTCCGGAGGTCGAAGTAGAGCGCCCCCAAGGTCGTCGACGCCTGACCTGACCCATCCTCGGGCACGAAAGGCTCTACCTCGATGTCGCTCGCTTGGAGGTCAGTGGCGAGGGTCACAGGGATCTGGGGTGGGAGGGAGGGAGGGGGGTGAGGGTAGGGGGAGGTCGAGACAGAGGTGAAAGGGCAGAAAAAAAGAGATTAAATAGGGGACGTAAAGGGTGGGAGGGGGGGGTGGGGGGGAGAAGGAAGATTTATATCAAATTGTTATTGTTATTGATGGTGTTGTTGTTCTTGTGTGTGTACTCATCTTACTGTTAGGTTTGTAGTCATTATTGCAATCATGATCATCATTATCACTATCACCGTTATTATCATCATTATTACCATCATTATCACTATTACTATCATCATCATCATCATCATCATTGTTCATGCTATTATTACAATTAACCCCCCCACCCCACCCCCACCCCTTAACACATCATTCCTTCTAAAAAAAAATACACCCCTTTCCCCTAAAATAATAATAACAAACAGTTACCCCTAAAAGCTCATGCAGGTGCACCCCAATGATAGCCCCGTGTTCGTCGTGGGCGGGATGGGCGGCCAAGAAATCCAGGCGGGCGTTCATGAGCGTTTTGTCGACGTGGGCGTTTACTAGCGCACTGAAGAATTCCCTCACTGACACCTGTTCCGAGGCCGAGTGAGCGCTTAACACCTGTAGGGGGGGGAGAGGGGAGAGAAGGACCTGTTAATAGGGGTTCGTTCGGGGAGGGGGAGGACAGGGGGGGAAGGTAAAGGGAGGAGAGGGGAGGGGGAGGAGAGGGGAGGGGGTGGGGAAAGGTGGAGGGGGAGAGGAACAGATGGGAGGAAGGAAGGGAGAGAGGGAGAGAGAAGGAGAGGGGAAAGGATGGGAGGAGTAGAGAGAAAGAGGATGAGAGACAGAGATGAGGAGAGGGGGAGAGAAGGAGACGGGGGAAGGAGAAGAGGGTGAGGGGAGGAGAGGAAGAGAGAGAGAGAGAGAGAGGGAGACGGGGGAATGAGAAGAGGGTAAGGGGAGGAGAGGAAGAGAGAGAGAGAGAGAGAGGGAGAGGGGAAAGGATGGGAAGAGAAGGGAAGGGGGAAAGTCTGGTTGTTCAGATGGATGTTGGTTGAACATCGAACAGTGAACACTGCGATTAGATGAACAGTGAACGGTGAGAATAGTTAACCAGTACATACAGAGGGCGGTTGAACACGATGATATAGAAAGTGAACAATGAAGGAAATTAAGACCAGCTGAACAAGAAGGCTAGTTGATCATCAAATACTATCGTTATCAAAGACTAAATTAATGTAAAATATAAAACATTGAAGATTAGCTGAGCAATGGATACTGTTACCAAATGAATGCATTTGAATATCAAGAATAACTAAACAGTGAACATTGAGACCAAATGAACAGAGAAGAACAATGAACATTAAACCATTTGGCTTTATTTTCCAAATTTCCAATGAAAACATTTAGAAAGAGACCGTCATCTCTTGATTATTTATTGTTTATATATATATATATATTATTTGGTTACAGTGATTGCTACTGATTTAGAATATTACGTATTGATAATACCGGCGATATGCTATGGTAGAAAAATGGGGAAGAGCCAAATTGAAAATAGGCAAGGATACAATAACAATACTTTTTCACAAAATACATACATACTTATTCTCCAATTTAGTTGTCAGAAAAGAAAAAAAAAAACATTCTTTTCCCTCAGCAATCACACATGCACACACACACACACACACACACACACACACACACACACACACGCACACGCACACGCACACGCACACGTACACGCACACGCACACGCACACGCACACGCACACACACACACACACACACACACACACACACACACACACACACACACACACACACACGCACACACACACACACACACACACACACACACACACACACACACACACACACACAC